ATGGAAGTGTCCCCGAAATACTTTCGTGTTTGTCGAATCCCACGCGATGTTTGACGCGACTACGACGCTATGACCTTTGTTTGTCCTGTTTTTACGTTCGATTTCACGCATAACGCGTGATTCTCGCAGTGAACGGAAAATGGTCTATTAAATGTCAACCCAAGAATTTCAGTATATGTTAAATATGATAAGTTGATAAGCCAAGGGTTTCTGATTCCTCGACTTGAATGTGAATATTAGAAGTATTTTGGTCACCATCATGATTTGGTGGCTAGCTTTCTGTCTGTGGCATGATTGCAGATTTATTTGTTGGTTGATGTATGTGGTCGTGTTTGTCCTTGTGACTTGGTGTGGTTGTTTGTCCAGTAAACTTGATTTGACATTTTTCCCTGACATGACTTTGGAACATCACGGGAGTGTGGCATGCCAGCAGCAGATGCTTACCCTTCACGTGTACCTGGTCTGACTCCCTTGTGGGGGTTTATGATGTTCTGCTTCCATCGATTTTGTCAGTATATTGTTTTCTAGACTACTGATATTTGGAGAATGGCTTATTGGTACTACTATAATTATTAACTATCACAGCTTGATACAGTTTGCTATACAGTGAAAATAACTTCTATTTTTTGATTAATATTTTTGTCATTTTCAGAAAAAAATGCTGTTTTTGATTTCTTATTGAAAACTGCTAAATTATTAGTTCATTTCATGATGATAACTTCAAATCTTTGATTTTATTGTATAATTTTGGTCATTTTGTTATTCTGGAAGTTACTGTTCTCATGACTGCATAAATATTTTATATATGCCATATTTGTTCTATACATGTAAGAAGCTTATTTTATGAAATAGTTATTATTTTCTTGTTCAAGGCAACAGTTTTAGTTTGTAATGAATGTACATACCAACATGCAACATTAAACGTCATGAAAAAATGTCCATGTTGAATTTTTAGAGAATTTATTTTTTCTGAACAATGACAAAATTTGGTTATAAATGAAAAGAGGGAATGGTATGATTTGTAATCTTGTGTGGTATCAAAATGTTTGGTCCCTGATCTCATAGTTCTTAAAATCTTTTAAGAAATGACATATATGACATATATTACACACAATCCCTGGTGGACTGGAACATGGAGTAGTAATGCAAATTAATCACTTGCTGAGTATCAGGTATTACATCAATTTTCCATAGGACCTTGTAGAGATTTCTATCATGATTACAAGAACATTTAATCAACTCTTTTTGAGTCTGATTTTAGAGCCAATCTTCCCTGTATTTTTCATGGATGAGAGCTGACCTGACATATACTTTGTACATGTTCCACTCATAGTTGTTATTTCGCATGACAAATCAGTACTCTGGTTTGCTTGCTTATTCTTAAATAAGGTCTCCACTCATCATTAATTGAAAAGAAATGTGAAATCAGTAAATTTAAAGTCAGTCAAATGATTTTTAGTTAATATTATAATTAACCATCATTTAAATCTTTAATAATACTGCTCTTAAAAAAATGGTATTTTTTAATTACTAGTAGCTAATTACTAATTTAATTACTTGGTTACTTCTTTAATTACTTGCCTCATGGCCATGGACTGGGTGCATCTCATGCCCATGAGGTGCGGCCATGGACTGAATGCACCTCATGGCCATGGACTGGATGC